TATATATTCTCTCTCTCTCTCTCTCTCTCTCTCTCTCTCTCTCTCTCTCTCTCTCTCTCTCTCTCTCTCTCTGTCTCAATCTCTCTCTCTATCTCTCTTACTCTACAATAATAATAGTAATAAAAGAAAAAAATATATATATTGATAAGAATAGAATAATGATGATAATGATAATAGGAATATCAATAATAATGGTAACATTAAAATGGTAATAAAAATAATAGCAATATCGAATATAGCCAATTAACAACAATGGCACACATAATTATAATAATACAGTGATATAGATAAAGATAATAATAATGGTAATAGTAATAATAGCATCATTAACAATAATGATAATAATAATAAGAGCAATAATAGCAATGATAAAAACACCTTAATGATAATAATATTAAAGATAATGAGGATGATAACAGTGACAACAGTAGCGACAACAACAACAACAAAACAACGATAATAATAAAAGAAGAAGAAATAGAAGAATATTGGAGGTAATAATAGTCGCAGTAACCGGGGTGGTTGTTCGTGCTCTGTGAAGCGAATGCTGTGGAAATTCCGTCCGCATTAAGTGCTTTGTTTGAATGCCTTCTCGCATACAGTCCTCACCGCTGGTTAGCCTGAGACGAAAAAGGGACCAGATTTTGCACAATTCTCCCCTGGCATTTCGCACAGCCAGATGAAACGTCCCCGCGGGCTGGGCTTTCCCTAGTACCAGCTCCCTCGCGCACTTTTCCGTATTATTAAAGTTTTGAGGGTGTCACTTGCCTCGCGGGGCGACAGTATAGTAATGGGAGAAATGCGAGGCAGCTAGGAGCACCACGCACCAAGCCCCATAGTATGAAGAATTAGAATATGCTCATTTGAACGCGAGCATTGTATCAGAATTAGTTTTGAATGCTATTTAAGATATAGTATACGGCTGTTTTTTTGTTGTTGTTTCTTTTTTTACTGTATGACGTAAAAAAAAAAATAGATATAATTAGTTTTTAAAGAACAATGTTGCACCATTTCTGTCCCGCCTGAAAGCTTCCTCATAGTTTTTTTTTGCGATGTTATATTACAGATTTCAGAAATTACAATAATCACCGTATTTTAATGACTCACATCCCCATATATATTCAGAAAAAAAAAATTGCTCTTAATGTATATTCAGATCCATATATGAGTGCATATGCGCCCAACCGTATCCTCCGGCCGGATGGAAGTTTGAATTAACAAAACATTTAATAAACGCAATTTTGAGTAATTGGACGCGCATGCCTTCATATATGTAGGGATATGTATATAGACATATATAGGTTTATACAATACACACACACACACGCGCGCACATACACACACACACACACACGCACGCACACACACACACACACTCACACACACACACACACACACACACACACACACATATATATATATATATATATATATATATATATATATATGTATATATATATGTGTGTGTGTGTGTGTGTGTGTGTGTGTGTGTGTGTGTGTGTGTGTGTGTTGTCTCGGGGAGATTTTAAGCTTATTATTCGTGAAATTTCGACATACATCTGGCCTTTATGAAGAATAAAATCAGCAGCATTCATTTAGATTGAGTTTAGATGAATTAAAACACCGAGTCTGAAAATAAGAAATATGCAATTACTAATAACATTATTTTCTCCTGAACTTTCCCGTGCAATCAAAAGTTTGGAGAGCGAGTGTGAATATGACAGTTGTAAGTGACAGCTGACATTCCAATTGTCGGCTTTGACACTATATTTCCCGAAAAAAATGAACCCGGGAAAGGGGCTTGCAGTTTAATAATACGAACTGCAACTAAGAGGCATCCCGCACCTGTTAGTCTGTCTTTTGATGACGATAACAACACACGTTTGTCTTATTTTTATTTTTTTTCTCTCTTTTTTTTTTTGAGGGAAAGTCGCACCGACCTTTGCGTTGACCCCGTGACCTCCCTTCTCCCCCTCCCCCTTCCACCCTACCCCACCCCCTCCTCCCCCGCACCCTTCTCTGGCTCTGAATTACGTGGCCCGAACCAGCCGCCGACAGCCTCTCCTCATCAAGGCTTCTGCAGTGCTTCCTCGTGGCCTCCCATGGACACTGGGTAACTCGATTGTTCCAGGTTATATTGTGGGGGATCTCGGGGCAGCAGGAGGCCTTAGGGGTACGGATTCATGGCTTCCCGGCGTAGGGACACATCTTGGTTTCTTACCAACTCCTGGCCTCCATTTTCCCCCAGGTTAAGGGGCGGCTCGGAGAAGGTATCAGTCCGCTCCCCCTCCCCCCCCCAAAAAAAAAAAAAATCACTGGTAGGTATGCATATAGATGGTAATACCTGGGGGGAAGGGGGGATACTGCTCCTCCCACATAGCATATAAGGAGGGCTGTGTGTCCCAACAGGAAGGCAATTTCCAAGGCGCAGGGAAGGCCAGTGGGACGAAGCCCAAGGGAACCCCACAGGCCCTAAACCCACTGCTCCCCTTTATAAGAATCAACGTCCGCGGGGGTGACCGAGGTAGCGTCCACCCAGAGTGACTTTCCCGAGGTTCAACTGCAGACCGGCTGTCCAGGAGGAAGGCTGGACCACCCTCTCTTTGCAAAGGGATGATCGACTACCCCTGCTACCAAGGGAACTGAAGTGGTTGAGTTGACGTGGCTGCTCTTTCGGAGGCGAGGAGCCCTGGCGACGGTACGATTAGCGTGGGTGCCCAAACTTACTAATGGTCAAGCCAGGGCGATGGTCACGGTCTCTAGGCAGTAGCCATAGCCTTCGGTAGTGGAAGTTACTCCAATTGGTGAGTGATAATGATAATAATAATATAAAAAAAATGATAATAATGACAATAACGATGATAAAAAAAAAATGATTATGACAATAAAGAAAACAACAAATTACTTACATAGACATCGTGTACTCACCCTCATCCTGAGCCAAAAAAAAACAAAAAAAACTGGGGTACTAAAAAATAAACCAAGCAAAACTGAAACGTTTACTTACCCTAGCAAACGTTTTCCACTTCTCCTCTAAGAGCCTTTGGATAATTCCTCCCTCCAGCATATCCAAGTGCTCGCTCTTCGTTCCGTTCAGGATAATCATGAGGGCAGAGTTCCAGTCTGTGGGGGAGGGAGGGGAAGGTAAGAGGGGGAAAGAAAGGGAGGTGGAATGGGGGAGAGGGAAAGGAAAATAGGTGGAATGGGGAAGAAGGAAAGGGAAATAGGTGGAATGGGGGAAGAAGGAAAGGGAAATAGGTAGAATGGGGAAGAAGGAAAGGGAAATAAGTGGAATGGGGGAAGAAGGAAAGGGAAATAGGTGGAATGGGGGAAGAAAGAAAGGGAGGGAGGTGGAATGGGGGAAGAAGGAAAGGGAAATAGGTGGAATGGGGAAGAAGGAAAGGGAAATAGGTGGAATGGGGGAGAATGAAACGGAGAAAGAAGGTGAGTAGGGAGAGGAAAGGGAGGGAGATGAAGTAGGAGAGAGGAATGAAAGGGAATGAGGAAGGGAGAAAGGGGTAGAAAAGGACGGGGGAAAGAAAGGGAGTGAATAAAAAGAGAGGGAAAGAAGGGGTGGATAGGAGGAGAGGAAGAATAGGAAGAAAGAGATGGGAGAAGAAAGGGGAGAGGGAAAAGAGGAATTAAATGGGAGTGGGGAAGGATAATGAGGTAGGAAACGAAAGGGGAAAGAAAGGGGGTATATAAAAAGAGAAAGAGAATAGGAAAGAGAAGTAGAAAGAAAGAGTGGAAGAGGGAAAAGGAAAAGAAAGGGGATCGACAGAGAGAAAGGAAGGAAAGGGAAGGGGAAACGGAAAAGAGAATAGAGAAAAGAATGAGGAAGTGGAAAATACGTAATAACGAAGCGGAAAAGGAAGAAGGAAAAGATAGGAAAAAAAGAGGTTATTAGTAAAAAAAAAAAAGTCAAATAACTATCTTTGAGAAAATGAGAGAAACAGAGAAAGATATATATATATATATATATATATATATATATATATATATATATATATATATATATATATGTATATATATATATATATATATATGTGTGTGTGTGTGTGTGTGTGTGTGTGTGTGTGTGTGTGTGTGTGTGTGTGTGTATACATACATAGAGAGAGAGAGAGAGAGAGAGAGAGAGAGAGAGAGAGAGAGAGAGAGAGAGAGAGAGAGAGAGAGAGACAGACAGACAAACAAACAACAAACAGACAGACAAAAAAAAATATAAAAAATAAACACACAAACACACACACACACACAAACAGAAAGACCAAGAGACAAAGAAGCAAGATGAAAGTCAGAACATCCTTAATTAATTTTTCATAAAGAGGAAAAGAGGAAAGAGGAAATCTTATTTTGATGACAGAATTGACTCGAATACCTTTCTGTTTTGTTTTTTGTTTTCTCTCTCTCTCTCTCTTTGCTCTCGCTTTCAATATTTATCTTCCTGTATGATGATGAAAATAATAACAATGATAGCAATAATAATAACAATAATAATAACAATAATGATAATAATAATAATAACAATAATGATAACAATAATGATAACAATAATAATAGTGATAATAACAATAATCATAATGATCATACAAACAAAAAAACAACAGCAACAACACAACAGTAATAATAATTATAATGATAACGATAATAATTAAGAGAGAGAGAGAGAGAGAGAGAGAGAGAGAGAGAGAGAGAGAGAGAGAGAGAGAGAGAGAGAGAGAGAGAGAAGAGAGAAGAGAAGAGAGAGAGAAGAGAGAGAGAAGAGAAAGAGAAAGAGAGAGAGAGAAAGAGAAAGAGAAAGAGAGAGAGACAGAGAGAGACAGAGACAGAGAGAGAAAGTGAGAAAGAGAATGAACGAAGAAGAAAACAAAAACGAAAGATAAAAAAAAAGGAGAAAAAAGAAAGATACCATAAAACATAACACCTACACGCACGTAAATACAGTATAAACTCCTCCCTTCTCGTCCTCGACCAAAAGGATACAAGAGGTACAGGTGTGAGTCATTGAGTAAGTGGTTCAGAAGAGGACCATTCATTATCGAAAAGGTTCTTTGCGTACAGGCGGTGTGGAGTAGGGGGTAGGGGGGTGGAGAGGGGGTAGGGGGGTGGAGAGGGGGTGGGGGTGGGTGATGTGGAGAAGGGGGTGGAGGGGGGTTGTGTGGAGAGGGAGGTGGGGTGGGGGGGGTAGTATGGAGAGGGTGTTGGGGGGAGTGATGTGGAGATGGTGTGGGGGTTGTGGAAAGGGGGTTAGGGGTGTGTGTCGAGAGGGGGGTGGGGTGTGTGTGTCGAGAGGGGGGTGGAGGTGAGGGTGGAGAGGGGGTGGGTGGTGGTGGGTGGGGTTGGGAGTAGTAGGTGGGGCGGGGGTAGGCGGGGAGGGGTGGGGGGGGGGTGGTAAAAGCCTTTTGTACAGGTAGAAGACTTTGGTGAAAGACCTAAGGGAAACGATAATGGGCCGGCTTCTTAAGGGATTGCTTATGTGTTGGGGGGTGAAAAATGTGTATATACAGATTATATATGTATAAGAGAGAAAGAGAGGATGAAGATGAGTAAAGATGGGAGAGGGAGAGGGAAGGTGTGTGGGAAAGAGAGAATACGGCATGCAAGGAGGGTTATATATATGATGCATATATATACATACACACACACACACAAATATATGTGTGTGTGTATATGTTTGTTTGCGTGTACGCTGAGCATGCTTGCATGCATGATTGCGCACGCACGCACGCACGCACGCTCACACACACACATACGACAATAACAACAACACCCAAGGTTTGTATTCATATTCTAAGGTTAGTTTTAATGCTATTCGTTTTACGATTGTGACTGCCATGAATATTTGGTTGTGAAAGTGTGCAGTCGTTTTAATCTATTATGTTTTTTTTTTTTGTTTTTTTTTTTCTTTTTTTAGAAATTCCAATTCCGATTATCGTATTTATAATTATAACTAACTTCACACGTTTCCATTCAAGAGAATAATAGGGAATCGTGTTTTATTTTCATAGGTGATTTTGATTAATGCTCACCACCGAGACTGAATTCTGTGTCCCCGACTGACCGACATGATATTTCTGCCTTAGACTTCTCAGATGTAGTTGGGTGAGAATAGTTAGTCTGAGGTGTAACTCCAACAGTGGCAATCTTTTGGATCTTTTATTGAGGGATAATTAATGTAGAGTCCCTCGCGCCAGCGTATTCTAGCTTGTAAGATCCAGTTGGTCTTTCCAATACCAGATTTTACCCTAACTAGACAAGGTGTTTTGAAGTCTAGAATTAATTGGAAAGGTGTCTAGCTTGCGTTTGGTAGCATTGTTTAAGATGTTCATTATGTCCCTTGTCCTGTTAATGTTCTAAAATTATAACGAGATTTGTACCCAGCAAGACTCTTAATTCTCATTCACATGATAAAGCATGGTTTAATGAGCGATGTCACCAGGCTTATAGGGACAAGCATACTGCTTACAGTCTCCCGTTCTTGTTGAGGGAATTATGCTGTCATGCGAAATATAGCAACTAATGTTTATAAGGAGGCTAATTCTGAATATAATACTCATTTGAAAGAAGTTCTCTCAGAAGCGTCACAGCCTCATAAATGGCGGTCAACACTTAAAGCATCTTTGTTTAGTGTTGAGTCCTCTTATGATGATGCCTGATGGTAGTGTTACATATAGTCCGATTGAAAAAGCTACATTGTTAGTAGAATGCTTTAATTCGAAATATAATTTAAAAGATAGTGATCTTTCTCTTTCATGTCACCTATTACCATACTTTATTTCATTTGCTTTCAGGTCCTCTGAAACCAAGTATCCCTTATCGGAATTAGACGAATATGGTGGAGTAGACCGTAATGATCTGTTTCCTTTAATTCTAAAAAGACTAAATGGTCAATTAGCTCCTAAAGTAACTATAATCTTATGACTTTTAGTTCGTCAAAGGTCATTTTTAGAGTGCCGGCGTTTTGGAAATGTCACCCCTATTCCCAAGGGCCCATTACAGTCTTCAACTATCGACTAGAGGCCCATTTCAATTACAGCAAGATTTTTTTTAATGTTTCTTGGTCAAATGTCTTTCTGTGTATTTGAGACTGTTTCTTCCCGAAACTCCGTTTGGTTTCAGAAAGGGACTCGGTTGCAATGATGCATGGCTTATGTCGGTGCATGAAATGCAGTCTGCTTTAGATAAGTCATGAATCAAAGCTGGTCTCTTTGGACTTTAGTGCAGCTTTTGACACTGTCAATTACAAGGGTTTATTTTTTAAGCTGCAGTCTGTTGTTGTTGGTGGAAAAGTTTTTAGTGTCTTAATTGAATTTTCAACTGGTAGAGAACAACGTGTTCATGTTGATACTGGTTTTAGCTCGTATTCTCGTGTGTCTTCTGGGGTTCCTCAGAGTAATGTTCTTGGCCCTTGCTCTTCGTTTTACATACAAGCAATATGTGGTCCGGCGTTACTAATAAAATGTTGGCAGATGCTGATGAGGCTTTTTTCTATTCTGATATTCCTTCTCCGGTAATGAAGCAATTAGTAGTTGACAGTCTCACTGTAGACCTGATGATAATTGGTTTGGACACTGGGTATCGCAGAGATATTGGGACTTTGAGTCTTAAACAAGATTATAACCGATAATTCACATCCCATCTATAAGTCTTTACCAAATTTTTATCAGCCCGCAAGCGTTACTAGAAGATTGTCTGCGTCTCCGTATTCTAGATTTTTTCCTGCTATTTGTTGACTTTGGAATAGATTGCCTTCAGATATTGTAACTTTCTTAACTGTGTTTTGACCTGCACTGACACCTTTGGTGGTATAATTATCGATTTTTTTCGTTTGGCTCTTTATACGATTTAGCATGATAATAATAGTAGTAGTAGTAGTAGTAGTAATGATAACAATAATAAATTACAATATCAACAAAAACACGAACAAACCGCACCAAGTCCTCAGTCCTTCACTTACTGGTCTCCCCCGAGGGCCGGATCGTGTCGAGGGCGTTGAGTGGGTAGGCGCTGCAGGTGATGTTCGAGTAACGCCAGAACTCGATGCAGGTAAGTTCCAGCATCTCCTTGAAGATGGTGGAGCGGGCGAGCTTGCAGGCGAGGGTAAGGGGCGTGAGGCCGGCCATGTTCATTATCCCGTCCTGCGCTGGGATGCGAGGGTGGCGGAGGGCGTAGGAGAACATACCCTGGAGGAAGGAGGGGTAGTGGGTATGAGTGGGGAAGGAGGGGATATAAAGGGGGTGGGTAAGGTGGGGGTAGGAGAAAGTGGGCATGGGGTGGGGGAGGAAGGAGGGGATAGGTGGGTATGGGTGGAGGGGGGGGGTAGGAAGGGAAGGAATGGAGGTGGGTATGGGTTGGGGGTATAGGTGTTAATGGGGGAGAGGGAGGGTTGGGGTAGGTGGGTTAGGGTAAGAGGCGTGAGTTGGGGGTTGGTGGATCGAAAGGGCGGGCAGAGAGGGTATGGGGAAGGGAATAAAGAGAGGGAAAGAGAAAGGGATTGGACATGTGGAAAAGGGTGAATACGTAAAAAAAAAAAAAAAAAAAAAAAAAAAAAAAAAAAAAAAATGAGTAGGGATTGATTGGGTAAGGAAGGACGGGAAAGCAGTGGATAAACGAAAAGAGGGATTTATGAACAGAAATTGGAATATGAAATTGGAGAAAAAACGAAATGGCAAGGAGGAGAAAAGGGAAGTAAGAGAGGGGCGGGAAGAGGAAAGGAAGAGGAGACGAAATGAAGGAGATTTAGAGAAAGAAGAAAAAGGGAAACAACGAAAGATGAGGGTCGAGGAGAGCAGGGAGAAGAAGAAGAAGAAAAAAAGAATAGTAAATGATCATTGTTAATTAACCGACTGTTTAAGATTAAATGTACGTACGGACAGACTTATAAATTAGACCAACCAACTAAAAATCTCATGTAAGATAGCTACAGGAACAAGAGTAGCAACCATGACCCAAGTATAGAAGAGGGAATGAGAGGGGAGGGGGGGGTAGGCGATAATAATTTCCCATAGCCCATGAAGGAAGGGGGTAGGAGGAATGCTCATGACAGAAGCTTCTTTGTCACAGCTGTTTCTATTCGAGAACAAGCAAAACCAACATGTAAAGGATACTCAAAAGAGCTTTTACGATCATTCAATAAGAGGACCCTCGCCCTACTCTGCCCTTCAACCCTTTTTCTTTCTAAGTAAATTGAATGGAATGTTACAGTCCGCATAAAAAATAAAGTTATGGGTTCAGTACCATCTTTTCTCGGGAGTATGAACAAGCAATGATCTTAACAGCAAATTCCAGTACAACATGTCTAATGGAATTCATTATACATGAGAGGACATTTGGCCATAATAGCAACAGTCAGAAACAGATACCAACGTACTCTGCTAATGTGATAAAAACAACATTAAAACAATTGTGATAAATACAGTAACACGGGAAAAAAACGAGAACAACGATGCTTTTAATAGAAACAAAGAGGGAGAGAGAAAAAAAAATAGAGAAAGAAAGAAAGAGAGAGAGAGAGAAAGTGAGAGAAAGAGAGAGACAAGGAAACCAAGAAAGAATGAGAGAGAGAGAGAGAGAAGGAAAGAAAGAGAAAGAAAGAGAGAGAGAGAGACAGAAAGAAAAAGAGAGAGAATGAGAGAGAGAAAGAGAAAGAAAGAAAGAAAAAGAGAGGGAAAGAGATGGTGAAACAGACAGAGACTGACAGAAAATTTAGAACAAAAATAATATTGATATAGAGCATAATAAATCACCGAAGAGAGAAAACAGAGAAAAAATAGAAACCAAGAGAGACACCCGAAGAACTTAAAGTGGAAATAAAGAAACCTTAATGAACGACAACACATGAACAAATAGATAAAGAATGCAATATGCAAATTCAAAAATCATATCATTGTCATGTTACTCATGTTAAACCATGTCTCTAGAGATATGATTTCATTTAAGGGGAGAGAGAGAGAGAGAGAGAGAGAGAGAGAGAGAGAGAGAGAGAGAGAGAGAGAGAGAGAGAGAGAGAGAGAGCAAGACAGAACCTCTTTTCAAATTCTTTTCTATTTTTCCCTTTCATCAATCCTTTCTCTTTTAAACCCAATTCTTTTAAGCCTCCCACAATATCGAAAGGGATTTATTTCTACTTTAGAAAGTGAAATAATAAAAAGTCAGTTAATAACCTAAACTTTAAAATGATAATTAAGTTTACTTCAATTTGATGCCTGAACTATCGCTAATCTATAAACTTCAAAAAAAAAATCCTTTTGAAAAACTTAACCTTCTTTCTCATTTTGTCTATCTATCCATTTGTCTGTCTGTTTATCTGCCTCTCTCTCTCTCTTTCTTTTTCCTCTCTTCGTTTCCCTCCACCTCTCCCTCTCTTTCCCTCTCCCTCCCTTTCCCTCGCCTTCTCCTTTTCTCCTACTCTCTCGTGCCCTCTCTTTATCCCCCCTTTTCCTTCCTCTCTCTCGCGAACAGAGAAAACAAAAAATAATGAAGTTATTATGAGGAAAATAAACCGGTTTCCCGGTGAATATCGCGTTATATAAATGGACAAGCGAGCGAAGAGGATAGAGGGGGGGGAGGTGAAAAAAGAGGGGATGGTAAAGGGAGGGAGGAGAGAAAGGTGAGAAGAGAGAGAGAGGGAACAGACAGACGTATATATATACAGACCTGCACATACAAATAAAAATACAATGCATAAAGAAAGAGATAAATAGAGAGAGAGAGAGAAGGAGACTGACAAATAAACATAAAAAGGAGCAGATAAGAAAAGAAACAGATAAAATCCTCTATAGCATTCCAAGAATAGCAAGGACAAGAACTGGAAGAAAGTGCAAGAACAAGGGTGAGAAAAAGAAAAAATATTTAGAACAACAGCAACAACAAAAATACAAAACAAGAAAGGAAAAGAAAGAAAAAAAAAGAGATCACGAAACATTAAAAAAAAAGAAAACAAGAAAGCAAGAAAAAAAAGTAGAAAGAAAGCGAAACAACAATAACAGTAACACCAATAAGTACAAAACCAGAAAAAAAAGGAAAAAAATTTAAACAAAATGTGATAAAAATGAAGAAACAAAGATCGAGAGAGAGAGAGTAAAATAAAATGAGATATAGAAATAAAGAAGCAAAGAGAGAGAGACAGAGAAAAATGAAATAAAATGAAATATAGAAACACAGAGAAAAAAAATAAATAAATAAACACTAGAGAGATAAAAAAAAAAAAAAACAACAAAAAACTCGAGAGCCCCTTACCAGCTGATTGCAAACGACCACCATGTGCAAAATCATATTCCCGAAGGTGTCCTGTGCGTTGGGATCCGCACCGAAGTCGATCAGCTTGTTATAAACGGTCTCGTTGCCCAGACAGGCCGACCAAGCCAGTGGGTATTCCCCGAGGTAAGCGAGTCCTTCGTAGTCTGTGGTCTCAGGTCCTGGCGGCCGGGTCACCTGCTGGTCCTTCGGGAGGAAGAAGCTGCCTGGAGAGGGGGGGAGGGTGGGGGAGGAAGGGGGAGGGGGAGAAAGGGAGGAAGGGTGGGGGAGAAAAGGTGGGTAGGGTGGGGGAGAAGGGGGGGAGGGTGAGGGAGAAAGGGTGGGAGGGAAGGGTGAAAGGGGGGTGGGGGGGAGAAAAGGTGGGAGAGGAAGGTTGGGGGAAAAGGTGGGAGGAAAGGGGGGGAGGGTGGGGGAGAAGGAGAGGAAGGAAAGGGGTTTAAAGGTGGGGGAGAAAAGGTAGAAGAGTGGGGGAAGGAGTGGAAGGGAAGGGTGGGGGAGCGGGTGGAAGGGAAGGGGTGGGGGAGAAAAGATAGAATTGTGGGGGAAGGGAAGAGTGGGGAAAGGTAGGATGGATGATGGAGGAGGGGGGGGGGGGGGGAGATGGTGAAAAGAAACCGTTAATGAAACACTATAAATTCTGCTGTTGGATGGGAAAGAACTAATAGCAGCAGCGAGTTATTGGGTTACAAAACGCATATGCAAACGAACACACACACACACACGCACACACACATACACACACACACACACGCACATGTACACACACACACATAAATATAGATATATATATGTGTGTGTGTGTGTGTGCGTGTCCTTTGCCCTTTCAATATTCCCAGATTATCCTTCAGACACGTTCGTTAGAAGCTAATATTCGATCAGATCCTTAAAAAAAAAAAAAAAAAAAAAAAAAAAAAAAAAAAAAAAAAAAAACGGCACTGCACACTCTCTCCAAAGGTATTCAAACCTCTCTTACTCTGTGATTCTGACATATTCTCTAGAGATAACAAAATCTGAAATTAATCTTAGACGCTTTGTTAATATCTGTAAAAATGAAAACCTAATAAATTACATTTCCGCAGAGGATCAGAGTGTTAATCTTTTCCCCGGTAAGAATAACGCCGATTTTAAACCCGTCTTGAAGGGGATCTGATCCCATTTCATTTATTATTCGCTGCACAGTGGTCACGTCGCTGGTACAGGCGAGGTATTCCGTGGGCGAAATAAGCCCAAGATATCAGGACATT